TAGATGAAATACTAAACATCTATTAAAGTGAATTACATAAACACACTGACTTATACTGAAAAGACAGTGCCTTTATAGAAAAAAATACAAACACATGCTACTTACCAGAAAGGCATATATACTAAAACCTTTAAAACACTGTACCCAAAGTACAATTTTAGGTGATTTTGATGTATTTGTGTAAAAATTATCTACAGTTTATATCTTAGAAAGGTTTTTTTTTTAAAGATTTATTTATTTTTATTACAAAGTCAGACATACAGAGAGGAGAAGAGACAGAGAAGAAGATCTTCCATCCGATGATTCACTCCCCAAGTAAGCGCAACAGCCGGTGCTATGCCATTCCGAAGCCGGGAACCAGGAACCTCTTCCGGATCTCCCAAGAGGGTGTAGGGTCCTAAGGCTTTGGGCCATCCTCATCTGCTTTCCCAGGCCACAAGCAGGGAGCTGGATGGGAAGTGGAGCTGCCGGGATTAGAACCAGCACCCATATGGGATTCCAGGGGTTCAAGGGCAGGACTTAAGCCGCTAGCCCATGCCGTCGGCCCCCCTTAGAAAGTTTTGAAAGATGAGAAAATCAAACCAAGCCCCCCCCACACACACACCTTTCAACTCCCACTTGAAAGGCTTGCCTGAGAGGTAACTTGCATTTCCAGAGTCATCAAGGGACTTCCTAAATTAGAGGCACTTAGAAAGTGTGTGAAAATTGCAGGCTTTTCACTCCAGCCGAGACTTACTAAATCAGAATCTGTGACAACAGGCCCCGGAATATGCATATCATAGCAAAAATTGACTCTTACATACAGTGATGTTTGAAAATCATGGTTTTACAGATTGGGTGGAAGGCCAGTCAGGAAAAGCCACAGTTCCTGCTATGACAGGAGGTGGACTGAGTAGGGTTGGCTCATGGACCCACTGGTAAGCGTGAAACCTGGCATTGGGAGAGGTTCTGATGGAGGAGCCTGGGCAACTCCTCTGGCAGGACACAGATCCGGCAGGTAAGCACAAGAAACATGATAGGAAACAGCCCAGAAAAGGCCATGGAAACCTACCCACTGGCATACAATTGGCAGACATGGGGGCAAGACCAGGCTGAATCTGTCCATGTCATCCACTGGCAAATCCAGGCACCACTGTGGGTCGACCCAGGGTCGGTCGCAACAAAGACTAGTGCACATTATGGAATGCCGAGGTGAGGTTGCCTGTACCGGAAGGGACCACAGCGCCCAACCAGCCTGAGAACAAGAAAGGAAGTGGGCAGAGCCGGCAGGGGAATAAGGGAGGGATCCTTTACAGGACAGCTACTTCCGCAGGAGAGCATGGGCTGGGATGGGGGCAGACCAGACTAGGCAGAGCTACCATACCTGTCCGCCTCATGTGGACTAGATCAGGGAAAAGCCGGGCTGGGCGGATTATTCCTACTGGTGCAAACAAAATTAAAGTGGGCGAGGGTTGTTTGGGCTTAGACACAGAATCAGCTGGAATCTGGGAGTTGGAGAGGCCTGGGAGGGAAATAGTGGGCTCATCCCTCTTGGGTTACTACTTCCACAGGAGGACATAAAACTAAGATAGCGGCTGGGGTGGAATGGGGTGTGGGACAGACTGGATTACTGCTACGCTTACTGGCAAACCAGGGTAGGGGGCGGGCCTGGTGGGGGTTATTGTGGGTCGCTCCAACTAGGCTGCAGCTCCCACTGGTTTATGTGAGGGCCAAGTATGTGCTGGGCAGAACCAGGCTGGACTGCAACGCCCATTGGTTCCAGTGGAAGTCGGGAGTGAAAACAGAACCAACCCAGCAATTGCAACCACCAGATGATTGGAGCGATGGACGGTGCCAGGCCCTGTACTTGTTAGCACATACAAGAAGTTTCTTTGGAGATCTTCCTAATCTAAATGCTGGACTCAGAACCCTAACGAAGAAAAGAGAGAAGACAGAACAGGTCAACCAACCATCTCAGCTATGATGGACTATGTCAATCAGTAGATTTTTCAAAGCACTCATAGTGCTTGGAGTGGCAAGATTGACAGCAATTCATAACTGTTGCAATATCAAAACCACTTGAGCAAGAACCTCAGAGCATGCCCTACATCCAGGACCTGGGGAGGGTGGGAAATTGGGTGGGCCTTCTCCCTTAATACCCCCCTTTAAACATGAAGGTAACAATACGGAAAACATACTAGTATTATCCACTTTCCTGTAGCCCTTGAACCTTCTTACCCTAATTAACTATGTAAAGAATGTCAAAATAAAATTTTATTAAAAAGAAAATCATGGTTTTAAAAACAAAAGCTTCAAGGCCCAGCACAGTAGCCTAGCAGACAAATTCCTTGCCTTGCACACACTGGGATCCCATATGGGCGCCAGTTCTAATCCCGGCAGCCCCACTTCCCATCCAGCTCCCTGCTTGTGGCCTGGGAAATCAGTCAAGGATGGCCCAAAGCCTTGGGACTCTGCAGCCACATGGGAGACCTGGAAGAGACTCCTGGCTCCTGACTTCTGATTGGCTCAGCTCCAGCCGTTGCAGTCACTTGGGGAGTGAATCATCAGACAGAAGATCTTCCTCTCTCTCTTCCTTTCAGTATATCCGTCTTTCCAATAAAAATAAATAAGAATTTTAAAAAATCAAAATTAAAAACAAACAAAAGCTACAAATGCAGTGACCTAGACCACATTCCCACCCATTTAAAAGGAAACCTACCAAAAATTTAAAATAGCAGCAATTATGAGATTTTATACATACAAATTCCAACTCACAGAGACTACTAGAATTTGAATAACATAAACCTGTACTTACCAATTTTTTTTTTATTCAACCTTAACCTTAAACTCCCATGTGAACACTATTTCCCCATCAGCTGATTGAGGTGACAAAAGCATTCCCTATATTCAACCCACCTCTGTTTAAAACCTCTTTTACAATGTTCTGTCCCCATTCTGTGCTTCATTAAAGTATTACATAAACATTTATTAGGCAGTCAAATATCTGGGTAATTTCACCAGTCTTCAGTTGCTTTCATTTTTCCTTTTAAAACACATTCCAGGGGCTGGCCCAATGGTTCAACTGGCCAATCCTCCACTTCTGAGTATAGACATCCCATATGCACAGCAGTTCATGTCCCAACTCATCCACTTCCCATCCAGCTGCCTGCTTGTGGCCTGGGAAAGCTGTGAAGATGGTTTCAAGTGCTTGGGTCCCAACCATCCTTGCGGAAAACCTAAGTGGAATTCCTGGATTCTAACTTTGACCTGGTTGAGCACAGCCCAGCCCTGGTTGTTCCAGCCATTTGGGAGTGAGTCACCAGATGAATCTTTTAAAAAGATGACCCAAGGACCCACCACAGTAGCCTAACAGCTAAAGTCCTCACCTTGAACTTGCCAGGATCCCATATGGGCTCCAGTTCGAATCCCAGCTGCTCCACTTCCCATCCAGCTCCCTGCTTGTGGCCTGGGAAAGCAGTCGAGGACAGCCCAAAGTCTTGGGACCCTGCACCCACGTGGGAGACCTGGAAGATGGTTCCTGGCTCCTGGCTTCAGAATCGGTGTAGCTCCGGCCATTGTCGTTTGGGGAATGAGTCATCAAACAGAAGATCTTCCCCTCTGTCTCCCCTCCTCTCTGTATATTTGCCTTTTCAACAAAAATGAATAAAACCTTAAAAAAAAAGATGATCCAAGAGCTTGGACCCCCACACCCATACAGGAGAGCCAGAAGCTCTGAGCTCCTAGCTTTGGCCTGGTCCAGCTCTGATTATTGCAATCATTTGGAGAGTGATTCTGCAAATGGAAGATTTCTGTTATCTCTCCTCCTCCAACTCTTTCAAATACTTCAATAAATAAATATGTTTATTTCTTTTAAAGAACAACAGAGAGAGTCAATCTTCTATGCACTGAATCACTCCCGAGTTGCCTGCAACAGCTAGTTCCAGAAGAGGTCGAAACTGGAGTCAGGAACTCCATGCAGGTCTTCTGGATGGGCGGCAGGAGACCAGGTTCTCAGATCATCTGCTGCTTTCCCAGGTGCACTACACCAATCTGAATTTGAAGCATGGAAGCTGAGACTCAAACTGCCACACAGACATGGCATTGCCAGCGTCAAAGGCAGCAGCTTAACTCACCCACGATGCCGTCTTCCTTTCAGAAAGATTTGAAAGAGGTAGAGTGAAAAGAGAGTGAAAGAGAGAAAGAGCATGCAACAGAAAGCATGAACATGTGAGCACTTCCATCTTCTGCCTCACTACCCAAATGGCTGAAAGCTGTATCCAAAGTGGCTGCAACAGCCATAGCTGAGCTGATCTGAAGCCATTAGCCAGGAGCTTCTTCCGGAATTCCCATGCAGGTGCAGGGTCCCAAGGCTTTGGGCCAACCTTGACTGCTTTCCCAGGCCACAAACAGAGAGTTGGATGGGAAGTGGAGCAGCTGGGACATGAATCGCCACCCATATGGGTTCCAAGTGCATGCAAGTTGAGGATTTAGCCACTAGGCTAACTGTATTGGACCCATATAGATCTTTTCCAAAAATAAATAAATAAATAAATAAACACTAAAAAGTTTCCTGTTCCAAAAAGAACCACATGAATCACTTGCATTTTTCTGAAGAAAAATAAAAAAGGGTAAATATCACACCAAACACATCTGTATTATAGTGTATCAAGTATAGGGTAAAGGATCAACTCAGAAGGCATACATTTATGAAGCTTTCATAAGCATTCATTAAATAGAACTTTAGGGATTTCCTAATGGTAATAAATTAACAAATTTTTCCTAAGAAAGCCACAGCACACATTTTCCCCTTAAAAGAAAACAGGAACAACAGAAGGGGGGTGGGGGGGGAGTTCGGCCTGAGTTTCTAAGAGAATCTAGGAAAACAGCATAAATTCTGGGAAGCAAGGGACAAGCCCTTAATTTTATTCTCGTCTATGATATATTTTAATCCTGGATCACTCAGAAGGCCAGATCAGTTAAAACAGGAATTCATTAAAACCAAGAAGATTATATGCACCTACCTGCAGCTCACACCAAGCAACTTCAACCCAGGTTTCCGTGTCCAGTCCTTTATATACGGTTTTAAATGCTCCACGACCCAGTTCGATATCAAACTTCAGGAATCTGCCACTAGGAGAAGTAGCCACAGCCTTCATTTCAGCTTCTTCTTCCATTTCTTTTTCATTCTTCTCCTTCAAGCAGTCTTTTGAGGATTCCGAAGCTGCTTTTGAACATTGCTGGTATTTACCTTCTTGTCCGCCCCTTAGCACGTTTGTGGGAAGTTTATCTACTCTTGGAATGTTTGTGGCAGCCTTGATTCTTTCAGTTTTGGAAGAAGATTCAGCAACTTTGTCATCTTCCATCATCTCAATACTCTTTCGGAAAAATCTCTTCCTTTCCACAGTCTCTCCAGAAGCCGAGTAGGTGTTGGCTTTTTCCTTTACTCTAGCTTCTATGGCCAAAGTGGCGGCAACCTGTGGAGCTCTGTTTTCAAGAGAGACTCCATCAGGTTTCTCAGACTCTTCAGTGCTGGCTGGCTCCCCTGAGTCAGTGGCCATGGTAATCAAGGTAGATTGTGAAAACTCTGTCACCCTTGAATCCAGTTACATCTCAAGCATCACAATGATGAAAATGTACTTCCTTTTATGTGGTCATAGATTTCCATAGCAACCTGAAGGGGGAAAGGAATATTTTTAAATCACCCAACTAAGGAAATCATTAAGGAGAAAACAAGTCACCTGATTTTTAATCCCTTTGGGTTAATAAGTTTATTCTTTTTTTTTTTCTGTCCAATCTTAGCAACCAGCAGACTCCAGGGGCTGTGTCTTATCTTGTTTACCATTGCAGCCTCAGTGCCTAGCAAGCTGCTTCGTATTTAGCTCACTCTATCTTCCTATTTCACAAATATTAATTAGGAACCTAGTTTTTGCTCTCATCGATCAATCTATCAAATTCAAAATAAGTATCAAATATGGAGTTCACTTGACAAGTTCACACAAAATAATCACATGATTTCCAGGTGGTTTGAATAGAAAATTCCGGAATTCATTCAACAGTTTCTTTTATTGTGGCAAAATATACACATCAGATTTACCATTTTAAGCACATTAGGTATACAATTCAGTGGCATCCTGCACATTCCTACTGCTGTGAAATCATCACTATTGTCCATGTCTACAACTTCAACACCCAAACTGAAACAACACTGATTAAACAATAATTCACTATCCATTCGCATTCTCTTCCCTGCTACTCTGTATCCTACTTTCCACCTCAAGGAATTTGCTTATTCTAGCTACTTCAAACATTTGTCTTTTTATGTCTGGCTTATTTTACTTAGGCTAACATGCAGCATTATTAGAATTTCATTCCTAGAGTGCCAGCACAGTAGGAGAGCAAGCTAATTTTCTGATCTGGGGCATGAGCATACCCTATAGGCCCTGGTTCATATCCTGGCTGCTCCACTTCCCATCTAGCTCCCTGCTTATGATCTGAGAAGGCAGCAGTAGATGGCTCAAGCAGTTGGGACCCTACATTCACAATGGAGACCTGGAAAAATTTCATGGTTCTTAGCTTCAGATCAACTCAGTTCCAGCCACTGCAGCCATGAGAGTGAACCAGCAAATGGAGGGTTATTCTCTTTGTCTCTCACTCTCTCTAACTCTGACTTCCAAATATAAATAAATCTTGAAAAAAAGAAAGGAAGGGAAGAAGGAGAAGAAAAAAGAAAACACACAGAGAGAAGGAAAGGGGCCCAGCGCAATAGTCCAGTGGCTAAATCCTTGCCTTACATGCACTGGAATCCCATATGGGTGCCAGTTTGTGTCCCAGCTGCTCCACTTCCCATCCAGCTCCCTGCTTGTGGCCTGGGAAAGCAGTCAAGGTTGGCCCAAAGCCTTGGGACCCTGCACCCTCTTGGGAGAACCACAAGAAACTCCTGGCTAATGGCTTCAGATCAGCTCAGCTATGGCTGTTGCGGCCGCTTATGGAGTTAACCAGTGAAAGGCAGATCTCTCTCTCTGTGTGTTCTCTCTGTCAATCTGGCTTTCCATAAAAATAAATTTTTTAAAGGAAAGAGAGAGAGAGAAAAGGAAGGAAGGAAAGAAGGAAAGAAGGAAGGAAGGAAGGAAGGAAGAAAAGAAGGAAGGAAGGAAGGAAGGAAGGAAGGAAGGAAAAAGAAAAGAAGGAAGAAAGAAAGGAAGAAATTAAAGGGATTGGCAGTGATGGCTCAACTGACTAAACCTCTAACTCTGAATCCTGGCATTCCATAGAGCCCCAGTTTGTATCCCAGTTGCTCTACTTCCCTTTCAACTCCCTACTTTGTAGTGAGGTAGGCAGCTAGTTCAGGGTCAGGAGCTTAGAAACCACCACCACCTAGGTGTTCCTTCCTGCCCACAGGTGATACTCACCTACCATCACCTGAGAGGGGGCGGTATTGCACTGTTGTGTAACCATTCCCCTCACAAGCCCTTATAAAGGCTCATGATAAGGAGGGGCTCACTCTCTCAGTCCTGTGCTTCTGTCACTCTAGCACTCTGGCTATTGACCTCCCCAGTCCCTGCTTGCTCTCTGGCTTCCCATGGACAGACTCCAAGGACAGGCATCCCCTGAGCATGGCCCCTGTGTGCCTGCACTCCTCACCTGCTGTTCACTGCTTGGGCGGGATAGTGAAGATAGCTAAGATGCTTTGTATTTCTACTTTGTGTACTATCGGGAGTTCCAGCAGTGGTGAGGCCCAACAGTAGTGGAATGTGGGCAGAGAATCCAGGGAAAGATGAATGTCTGCAGCTTTGTGTAAGTGTGTCCAGACATTCATTGCATGTCTCTTGGGATAAGTTACATTGCTGGGGAAGCTGGGGCACAGGTCTTTAGTTTAAGGGATGAACTTCAGGGTAATGACCATTTGTTCCTCTTGGGGTTTCGATGGACTGAATTGCCATATGGATTTGTGATTTGCCATTTCTAATGAGCCCTGTTATCACCAAACCTGGTTAATAAAGACTCCTTAATAAATCATAGACTTGTCTGGTATGCTCTCATTCACACCGCACAACAGCCTGTGGCCTGGGAAAGCAGTTAAGGATGATCAAAGCCTTGGGACCCTGCACCCACGTGGGAGACCCGGAAGAAGCTCCTGGCTCCTGGCTTCAGATTGATTCAGCTCTGGCCATTGTGGCAACTTGGGGAGTGAACCAACAGATGGAAAGTCTTTGTTTCTGCTTCCCTCTGTAAATCTGCTTTTACAATAAAAATAAAATATATTTTTTAAAAATTTACTTTCTGGGACAAGCACTGGAGATAAGCAGGCTAAGGTGCCATTTAAGACACCAGCGTCCAGTATCAGTCACAGTGCTGCTCTGAGTCCCTGCTACTCTGATTCTGATCCACCTTTTTGTTACTGTGCCAAGGAAGAAGCAGAAGACAGCTCAAATACTGGAGTCCTGCCCATCCAAGCAACCCACTTGGGGAAACCAGGATGGAGTTCTAGGCTCCTGCATTCAGCAAAGCAAAGGCCCAGCTGTTGCAGCCATTTGGATGCTAATCTTCCACTTAGGGTGCCAGCAATACATTATGAGCACCCAGCAGCTGCACTTCCAAACCAGCTCCCTGGTAGGGACCTGGATATACAACAGCAGATGGCGCAAGTCCTTGGACCCCTGCACTGATGTGGGAGATTCAGAGGAAGCTCTTGGCTCCCAACTTTACACTGGCCCAGCTCTGGCCACTGAGGCCATTTGTGGAACGAAACTGCACATGGAAGACGTTTTTTTCTGTCTCTAGTTTTCTCTCTGTAACTGACTTATAAGCAAAAATACACATTAAAAAATAAAGTAAAAGATGGTGAAGGAGTGAGGGGGTGCCATAGTAGGCTAATCATCAGCCTGCAGCGCCAGCATCCCATGGGGATTCCAATTCAAGTCCTGGCTGCTTTACTTTTCATCATATCACTGCTATGGACTAGGAAAGCAGCAGAGGATGGCTTAAGGCCCTGAGCACCTGCACCCATATGGGAGACCCAGAAGAAGCTCTTGGCTCCAAGCTTCAGAGCAGTCCAGCTTTGGTCACTGCGACATTTGGGGAGTGATTCAGTGAAAAGATATCTTTCTCTGGCTCCCCCTCTCTCTAACTCTTTCAACTAAAATAAATAAATCTTCTAAAGATCATAGGATTAAATTTTAAAAGAAAATATAGAGAATAAATTTCCATAATACTAATGATATTAATTCTAAAACGTACATTCACACATACCCCAATCCCAAATTGTGGAAATACATATGTTTTTTCTTTCTGCTTCTTTGTGTGTTTTCTAAAACTTTACACAATGAACATATAAAAATTATGGAACACAGTAACTTCAAAAATTGTCAACTGAATGGTCAAAACACAAATAAGAAAAATGTTCCCTTATGGAGCAGGCATTGTGGTGCAGCAAGCTAAACCTCCATTTGGGATGCCCATACTACATATTGGAGTTGCGATCCAAGTCCTGGCTACTGCTAATGCAGCTCCTGGCTAATGCACCTGGGCAGCAGAAGATGCTGGCTCAAGTACTGGACTTCCTACCACACATGCTGTGACCACCTAGGGAGTGAATCAACAGATGGAAGATTTCTGCCAAATAAATAGATCTTTTAGGAAACTGAAAATTCTTCCTTTATTAACACAATCAACATCACAAAGTTATCGTTATGTACCCTGCCTTCAAGAACCACATTTGCTTAAAATTTGCATTAAAATTGCACAAGCCAAAAATATAAACAAATATCAAATTTGAAAACCTGAAGGAAATAACAGAACTAAAATGAACTTCACAGAAATAGGCTCATGGGGCTGATACAACAGCATAGCACACTTATCTTCCAAATGCAAGAGCCAAAATTCCATAAGGCTGTCAGTTCATGTCCCAGCTGCTCCACCTCCCATCCAACTTCCTGCTTACAGCCTGAGAAAGCAGAGAAGGATGGCTCAAGTCCTTGGGCCACTGAACTCATTGTGGGAAACCTGGAGGAAGCTCCTAGCTCTCAGCTTCATATCAGCTAGCTTTGGCCAATGCAGCCATTTGTAGAGTGAACTAGGGGATGGAAGACCTCTCTTGGTCTCTCCTTTTCTCTCTGTAAAGTCTGCCTTTCAAAAAAAGTAGAAAAAAAAAGAAAATTTTTTAAAAGAAATAAGCCAAAATTGTCCTGCACATTCAACTCAATTGCAATACATATTCCAACTGATTGCTCTGCAAAAAAATGTCAAGCTAACCCAAAAATACAAATGGAACTTCAAGGAATCCATAATAACAAAAACCAAAAAGCAATTTTGTATAAAAGAAAACAAAATTGGAGGACTTACTCTTCCTGATTTAATAATCTACCACAAAGCTACAGCAGTAAGAGAGTATGGGTATGGGACTAATGATAGGTATATAGATAAATGGAATAAAGATAGAGTCTAGAAATAAGAGTATAGTTTAAAGTTGATTGGTTTTTAATGAGAGTGCAAAGACAATTCAATGGGGGAAAGAATAGTCATTCCAGTAAATGTTGCTGAAATAACTGGATATTCACAT